CGGCGATGAAAAGCTGTCCCTCCTCATCATTGGCAAGTCGCTGAATCCCAGGTGTTTCCGAAATGCACGGCTCCCGAGGGATGTGACCTACCGCGCAAATAAAACAGCCTGGATGACGGCGGCGCTTTTCGAAGAGCATGTCCGTGCGCTTGATCAGAAGATGGCAAAGGACGGTCGGAAAGTGTTGTTTGTTGTGGATAACTGCCCCGGCCACGGAAAAATCGACAACTTGGCAGCTGTTACGCTGGAGTTCCTGCCGGCGAACATGACGTCCGTTCTCCAGCCAATAAATCAGGCAGTCATTGAGATGGCCCGCAAGTATTATAGGAAAAGCCTGCTGCACCGAATTCTGCTGTCATACGACAATGGGAAAAAGTATGAAATTGATCTGCTGGGTGCAGTCAATCTGATGGCCGATGCCTGGCGCCAACTACGCCCGCTGGCGATTGCTAACTGCTTCGCACATGCAGGGTTTTCTCGCGCTCCGGAATCGATCGAAGAAGACATTGGCGCAGAATTCAGCGGCTGTGATGAGCTGTGCAATGAAGTGCGCAAGGCAACTGGCTGCGTGAGCGATACTGAAGACGGCGAGATCGCCTTTGAGGAGTATGCGCTCTACGAGGCCGACGTCCCCGTTACCGGAATGCTGTCGGACGCCGATATCGTTGAGATGGCCGTGAACGACGCAGATGACCATGCAGATGAGGAAGAGCCTCGAGAAGTGCCTACGACGACAGAAACACGTAACATGCTGTGCTTGCTCCGCAACAAGGTCGAATGCAGCGGTGGCGACCAACGGCTCATGCGATGTGTTGAGCAACTGGAGAACGCCTTTCTCGGACCGAACGCTAAAGCGAAACAGGCGAGCATCACGCAATTTTTTTGGTCCTCAGTAATAAATTTTTTTCCCCTCCGAATTCTTGTGCCTTTACTACGGTAGCTGTTTTGTGCAGTGGAGCTTTTCCTAGCAGCACTGGCTTTTCTTTTACAGTGACCTGGGCGAACATTTTCGGCGTTTTGCTTAACTCGAAATATCGCCTATCTCGAAATTTTTCCCGGATTTGATGGCTTCGAGTTAACGAGGGATTACTATATATATATATGAACACTCAAAGAAAAAAGCCGCCCATGCTTGGCGCCAAGCTCGTCAATATGCGCCAACACGTGCTTATCTCTGACGTGTACTTTGCCCCATGAATGAATGCCTGTGCATCCGCGCTTATCCTTTGGTGGGGGAATCGTGTGCCTTCGGCTTTCACTGAAACGAAAGCATTAGTTGCTGGGCCTACAAAGATCTCTTCCGTCTCTGCACAGGCCCCTTTTGCGAAAACAGTGCGTTTTGCATACACAGCGAGGTATAACAACTGAGTTTGTACTAATCTGTACCTGTGATTACGTATTGTGCATCGTTTTTGTTTAAACAGGGCGTTACGTGTCGAGCGGTAAACGCTGTTAGTTCGCTCTCGTCCTGCGAGTATCGTTCTCGTGCGTCATTTGTGTGTGAGCAGCGCACTGCAAGTTTCGATTTGCTTGCTGTTCTCAGCATTACATTCCGAATTATTGCTGTTGCATTTATTGCTTTGCCCTGTCGGTGAAACTGTACCTTTTTTTAGATTTTTTACATATTTATACTGCTTTTAACCTACCGCTGTGTGCCCTTGGAGCTCGTAGATCGCTATCGCGTCGCCGCAACCGCGGTTTTGTGCGCGACGGTTGCGGAAAACGGTACTCGGAAAACGGTTACAATCCCCATGCGCTTGGCTGCGCACGCGCCTTCAAAACTAAGTCGTTTTATGCCATCTACGATAGCATCTGCCGCAGGTTTATCCACAGAGTTTGCGGAAAGCAGCGTTGCTTTGACAGGGCGAGGGTGCACTTTGGGGGTTTTCTCAGTTACATCGTCGCCATACATGATCGTGTCAAGAGCGACCGCGGTTTCGTCCTTAGCGGTTGTAGCAACGACAATCTTACGCACTGTAGTGTACCAACCAATCTTACGCACTGTAGTGTACCAACCAGTCGCACGCGTACTTCCGAAGCTTCGAGTACGCTGCTCTCAACCTTCGTTTGACGGTTTCCATACTAAAGTTCTTATCACCCGCCGCAATGTGTTTGAAACATTCGAATTGAGGCCCAATGAACATAGTAAAATTTGGCTGGGGAATTTAAGAATTCGTATCTGCCGCGGTTTCGCATCACTGAGATTATACTGTACGATTACATGAACGCCTCATTTATAATAAAATAGGGTAGGTTCGAAAAGCGTCAATGCGGCCAGATCAGGCACAGAAATTTCAATTTCCGAGAGATTTTCATGACAACCATAGAACCGGGGAAAAAAAAACAATCAAAATCAGGGAGTCTCCTGGCCAATCCAGGATACTTGGCAGGTATGCCATCAGTTCTTCAAATCAGAAACTCTCTGCATTGGGAGTCTTTAACTCTATACAAGAGCTCCAAGAAGCCAACCTCACAAATCAATATACACGTCTTACGCACATGGACCCTGGCAGCACCTAGCGGACCGCCTCTTGATTCGGTACGAATTCGAAATTAAACACGCGGAGCGTATTACTGAACTTTGGAGAACAAAACTCTGGGTGTCCCCGCTTCCCCGTAATACGCCCAGGGAGACACGCCAGGGTAGAAGGCAAATGCGCGTTGAGGCACTCAAAAAACTGCTTGGCTCCCGTAATGGAGTCTATTACGTCGATGTGGCTGGGCTGTCACCTAGGAGTTCCTACACGGTGGCGGTAATACATCAAGAAACGCAGGTGGACGGCCTTACTTTCAAAGCCACAAACTCAAGTCAGGCGGAGGAGGTGGTCAGTGCATTGGCAGTATCCCATCCTAACTCAAAACAAATAGTTACAGTCTCGAAGAGCCTGCGAGAGTTATCTGGCAGGGGGAATCTCTTCGTTGGCTCATAGACTTTTAAAACTGAGCATCAGGAACTGCGATCCTACCCCAAAACATCTTATATGGACTAGGGACATCAGGGTCTCTAGGGTAACGAGGCTGCACATGCAGCGGCCCGCATGCTTATTTCCTGGGGAGCTCCCCATTGTCCTTATAGACCTCAACGTCCCACATCTTTAACACGGTTTCGAGAAATCAAAGACATCGAGCAACGCCGCTTGTATTCCGCACCAGCGAAGGAACTCTCGAAAACGACGCCTACAGACAAACACGCTGCTCTGTCTAGCTATACTCAAATATTACAACCCGAAAATAAGTGGGCAGTGGGGAAGTAGCCAACATTTAACATATGATCTGGGCCTGCCAAATGAACCCAAAACTAACCCCCATTCCCAACCCCACCACTGAGGACTGGGAGACGATCCTACTCAACAGCTCTACACTAGAGGAACAGCAAACTCTTTTCCAGCGGGCTCGAGTGGCGGCTTCGACTAATGACGTCTTGGACTAGGGATGTCGACCAGCCCGGTGGGGATAGGGGTTATATGGCACAGCCAGCTTCAATAATGATTTTTCGTCCTCCTGCTCATTCTTTCAGTGATTTCGGAGAAGGTTTGGAGCAAATACTATGGAAAATTACTGTTCGGAGCAGTAATTTTCTTTTGGAGCCATTTGAAGCAGCATTTTCACCCCTGCAGAAGCAACCAGGTGGCGAAAGTAGGGCAGTCTTAATGCCGTCGTTATCTAGCGACGGCAGCCCCCATGCTTAGTAGACAGCTGCAGTTCCTGGTGGTGCCAACGTGCATATTAGACTTAGTAGATTTATTTATATGTTCTGAAAATGCATTGAAGTGTTCAAGATTCTGCTTGCTGCATAGCTATAAATCTTCGAACCTTGAATCACATCGTCAATTTTCGTTCAAGTGGAACAGCAGAAAAAAAATGTTTGTTTTGCCAAGAATATTCATGCATTGACTCGTATGGACTGCTGACAGAGGACCGACAAGTTTTCGTTGCAGCAGGAATTTTGTTGAAGCAGCGTTCGTTGTAGCAGGATTCAACTGTAAACAAAACAACTTCTTATCATGCAATTCGACAGGGAGTCTCGGATTTAATGCCTTAGTATTAGGCAATGATGCTAACCAGCTCAGCATTCCAAAGCACCCTGCATATGTGCTATTGTAAACCAACTTAACTTCTTCCGTAGTACTGGTGGTTAGCACACGCCAGGTTTAGCATTATGCTAAAGCATTAAATCCGAAGCCCTTCAATACATCACTCTGAGTTTCCTATAAAAAGCTTCTGTTGACATGGCTTATCCCAACAGTGTGACCTATAAGGATGCTCAATTGCTGCTAGAACAGAAATAATGAGCGACTGCATTGTAACATGGCAACATTAAAATCTTTTCTAAGAGCACGGCCACTGTGGCCATGATAGCAACAACTACAAACATGGCCTTATGAACTGGAAATGCACAACTGCAGTGAAGGTAAGATAGTCGAGAGTGTAAGCATGGTCCAAAAAGAAAATAACACAGATTCATTACTCTTGTTCAATAATTGCCTCTCCGACAAATAGGAACGCAAACTGGTTGATAAAATGTTTCTAAAAAGCTTTTGATGATAAAAGACTATTGATTTCGCACAAAAATAATGGTAATGAATGGTGATTTATGAAACGTTACAGATGTGTCTAAAATGACTTACTGCCGACTCGTAATAAGTTTACGTGCCACGTGACACCAAAAATGCATATAACGAATATTGCACACTTGCAGCCTGGCTACAGGTGGCACTGACTGACGCTCCTACATTTAATGCGCATTTATACCCTCTAAAGTGGACGGGGCGATAGCGGCCGTGGTAGTTCAGTTGGTAGAGCATCGCACGCGTTGTTCAAAGGTCACAGGTTCGATCCCTGCCCACGGCAAGTTATCTTTTCGTCAACTTTTACTTCACATTTACACAACAATTAATTCTAACAAGATACCCTATACTTTTTTGGGCATGACTGTCTGTTAGATCTTATTAATATTGTGTCTGACAAATTAAACAAGCCCTTAAGTGTACACTTCTTACCTTAGCATATTCTTCAGGATCAGGGTAGATCTCGCGTGCTTTCCGCAGGTCGACAAGAAACCTCTCCCTCATATGGGCTCTGCATAACAGTACATTGTCCATTAAACCATACGCAACACAACACTGCAGCCTGAAACTGCAATATACCACTGCAGCCCACAAGGTACACATCCTCGTAAAAGGGCAAGTAAACAACCTTAAAGTTCAAATATTGTTATGGAAAGAAATGTGTGCACTTTTGCTATGTGAACATGCTCCTGCAAGAATTTTGCGAATGCATGCTATAATAAGAAAGTTACAACAGTTAGAAAATTTGTTTCCTCTGGTTTCAAATTTTTGCGCGGCCTCGCCACCTTTCTTTGCCACAGAGGGGAGGAAGGCATAGCCCATGATCATGACTCCGCCCGATTCGGCAACGTGACACGACGTCAGCGATACGTCATCGGCACACAGCCAACGACCGAGCAGGGCTTCACACACATGAGCACATCCTTCCCTTGGCGGTAAAGCACTGAGATGCCCCTTCATTTCGGTGGCTTTCATTCTGGTAATACCGCTTCTCCCAGCAATCTCCGGCTCCACAAAACGGCAGAAGGCAGCACAGAAAAACGAAAATGCAGACTGCACGGCCAAACCGCATTACCTCAAGACCAATGCGCCGTTTTGTAGGACAAAGGGCCAATCGACAAGCTCAGAGATACGTCAAGTTACCCACAGTCAAGTTTGCGTGAAACACTGTGCATACGAAGGGGATTGGTCAGAAAAAAAGAGGCATGGGAAGTTTTTCTAAATAGAGGGTCTGCGTGGCACGCAGTGCTGTAATATTCAAAGAATGTGATTTCCGCAGTCTATCGCACGATTTGACAAGCTTGTTTGGGGTTAAAAAAAAAAAAGAGAAGCCTGCTTACTGGCACTTTAAGGCGTCAAAAGAACACTAAAGAAAAAAATGATTTTTTGGGTAAATCATACGTTACCCTTTCTAATGCCAAAAGCACAACTTCTGACATGTGCAGGCGCTTGGTAAGCTAGAAAATTGACCAAACTTAGAAGGTCGGTTGAATTTAGCCTTTAAGAATAGAATGCAATAAGATACTCGGGCCACGTGTGCATCAATGACTAGCCCAGATTCGGTTTTAAATGAACGCTTTTACCGTGCCCCTAGAAAATGAACATCACTGCTTGTAACATTGGCCGTTTCAAACTATCTTAGAATGCCTACCACAAATGCAGCAGTGAAGTGCCTACTACACCATAAGTGATCCTTTTCAGGCACAAAAACTTTGCAGACAGAAAAACTCTAAAAAAACACAAAACGGTTAAGAGGTCAAATGTGTTCCAGCACTTTGTAATGGATGGGCCTTTAAAACACCCCCTCGTGGTGCAATTCACAAGTTTTGACACCTGGCAACATTCTACGCTTCTGCTAAGTGGTATTACATGCATTAAAGACATTGCCCTCACCAAACAACGTTAATGTCGCATTTTTTACCCAAAGCAGTGGTGTTTTGTTGTTTATTTTTATCAAAGAAAAAGAAGTTCAAAGTAATGGCACTGCTCTGTCTTAGAACACCTGCTTACCAAGTAGAAGGACTAAGTTCAATCCTTACTCAAACCAGAGTATTCATTTTATTTGGATCTTTTTCGAGTTTTTTTACGTCATCATCATCATCATTTATTTTACCCTTAAGGGCCTCTCTCGGGGCATTACATAAGGGGGGGGGGAACAAACCAACTACAAATTTCAATGAAAATGCAGTTCATGGTTACAGTTTTTGAATTACTAAAACATACAGGTAGCAACAAAAAACAAAAAGAAAACAGAGCATGTCAAACAAAATATTCAACAGTCAATTCGCTGTCAAAAATATACAGGCTGCAGAGAACAAACAACAAAGAAAGACAAACAGCGATTAAGAGTCAATAGTAGCTAGTAATAAATCTCTAAATTTAACAGCAACTTGTTCGCTGACAATAGCATCCGTCAAACCGTTCCACTCATCGATAGCCGTAGGAAGAAATGATTTATTAAAAGCGTTAGTAGAACCAAACAGACGTTGGATACTCAGGGAATTAAATAGGCGACGAGATGTTCGGACAGGCGGAAGTAAAAGTGAACCATGTAGGTGAGGAAAGCTGTAGTAAAGTTTGTGAAAGAGACAGAGACGTGAAATTTTGCGTCGAGCTGACAAAACAGGGAGACCGAGGGATGATTTGATTTGACTGATGCTTGCTCGTTTGTCGTAATTTGCGGAGATGAATCTGGCGGCACGATTTTGGACGGATTCAAGAATGTTAACTAGGTATATCTGATGAGGGCTCCAAATTGCAGATGCGTATTCCATTTTAGTACGAACAAAAGTTTCAAAGGCCAATTTGCGAAGGCTTGCAGGTGATAATGACAATGATCTCCTAAGATAGCCAAGAGTTTTGAGGCATCGGCAGCTAGTTTGGTAATATGCTCGGTCCAGGTTAGTCTGCTTGTAATTACAACGCCCAGGTATCGGTAAGAATCCACTTGGGATAACACTGTTGAGTTTAATGAATACGGATGGATGACGTTAGTGTGTTTTCGTGAGACAGACATGAACTTACATTCGGAAGTATTCGGCCTCATCATCCACTGAGCGCACCAGTTATCAATGATGTGTAAATCTTGCTTTAGTATTAGCTGATCTTCGGGAGTTGATATGCGACGGTAGATGACGCAATCGTCAGCAAAAAGCCGAACCGTTGATGAAATGCCGGAAGGAAGGTCATTTACGTAGACTGGCACCGGCATGGCTGTCAGTCACTCACGGCTCGTCTTTCTTCAGGTTGCGCAGATGCTGGCAATTTTCCTTGGTTCTGGAGCAACAACGTGTCCTATCTTCGATGACGGCACAAACCCGGATATCTGCCCGGCTTTTCAACTGCTGTCGGATTGCTCCTCACCGCTGGATGTGCTAGCGCTGTCGGCACCGTCCGGCTACCGTTACTTCGTCTGGCAACCCGGGACGCTACAGGACGGCGCAGGGCTACTTAAGCGACTACTGCAACCACCCACTTTGGGATCTGGCACCGGCATGGCTGTCAGTCACTCACGGCTCGTCTTTCTTCAGGTTGCGCAGATGCTGGCAATTTTCCTTGGTTCTGGAGCAACAACGTGTCCTATCTTCGATGACGGCACAAACCCGGATATCTGCCCGGCTTTTCAACTGCTGTCGGATTGCTCCTCACCGCTGGATGTGCTAGCGCTGTCGGCACCGTCCGGCTACCGTTACTTCGTCTGGCAACTCGGGACGCTACAGGACGGCGCAGGGCTACTTAAGCGACTACTGAAACCACCCACTTTGGGATCTGGCACCGGCATGGCTGTCAGTCACTCACGGCTCGTCTTTCTTCAGGTTGGTTATTCTTATCGCCTTGTTAACGGAAAGCCGTTTAAAAAATTGGTGCCAGATCCCAACTCGCTGTCGACTACGATTGTTCAAAATGTTTTCCTGCTGGGTGCAAAATTTTTGTCATGCATGCGTGTTGCTCGAATGTTGCTGCTTCTGTCTGGGGATGTAGAACAAACCCCGGGCCCTCTGACATCCCAACAAGAAAAAGAAATGTTTGATGTCATCATGACACTACCATCAATGCAACAGCAACAGACTGAAATTCTTTCGGAAATTCGTTCCATTCGAGCCGACCAACAAGCACTCGAACAAAAGCTATCGCAACTGGCAGAAAAGGTCAAGCTCGTGGAAGATAACGTGTCCCCTTTACGGGATGACGTAACGCAACTACTCGCTCAAAATAAAGATCTTGCTGATACCTGCGCCAAATTACGGGACTCGTATGAGGACCTAGATGGCAGATCTAGAAGAAACAATTTGATAGTTTATGGCCTTCCAGATACTGTAAATGAAACGTGGGCTCAGTCAGAGGCTCGAGTGATTGCCTTTTGCTCCGAAAAACTGAACGTGGCAATCCGCACTGCTGCCATTGAAAGAGCTCACAGGCTAGGACGCTACACAGCGGTAAAGACAAGGCCCATAATTCTGAGGTTTTTGTCATTTAAAGACAAAGAATGTGTGCTTGCTGTTGCCTCAAAGCTGAAAGGAACTGAGTTCGCGTTGAGTGAGGACTATTCCAGTAAAGTTCGACAGGAAAGAAAGAAATTGATTCAGTTCGCCAAAGACCGTAAAGCAGAATATAAGTTGCATTTTAATAAAATGAAAATAGGCAACCAAACCTTCGTATATAATGCTGAAACCGACACCGTGACCAGGGATACTCGATAGCCACTAACGAATGCAGCTTACCGTAAAAAGAAACCATCCGGCAAACACGATCTCGTATGTATTGTAGTAAATTGCAGAAGCCTCAAAAATAAAACTATAGAGTTCAGTTCCTTGATAGAATCAACAAATCCGCACGTAGTCATTGGTAAAGAATCATGGCTCGACAACACAATTAGCGACAGCGAAATGTTTCCCTCTGGCTATACCGTATATAGGAAAGACCGTAATTGCCATGGTGGTGGTGTATTTGTTCTCATTCAAGATAGCATAGCTAGCAATTCTATAAGCATCGAAGCCGACTCATGCGAAACTGTCTGGTGTAAAATTTTGCTACAAAACGGTTCTTCCGTTGCCATTGGCTCATTTTATAGGCCGCCCGGTATAAGAACTGCCCATCCTCTCTTTCAGTTGAGCAACGTTTTATTAAGTTTGCAAACAACGCACGTAATTCTCAGAGGCGATTTTAACTTCCCGGATGTAGAATGGAAGTCCTTTAAACCCGTGTTAAACACAACGTTTTTTCTGTATACTACCTTTAGGGAGCTGATTAATGCCCACTCATTATTTCAATTTGTCGAAGCGCCAACAAGAATTGGTGGTGACAGTGCAAACATTCTTGATTTATTTTTGTGCAGTGAACCGGATCTTGTATCCTCTGTTGTCACGGTCCCTGGTATCAGCGACCATGAAGTTGTTGTCACTAAAATGTCTTGTAGTGCTAAAAACCGCCGCGCTCAGGCACCCCGCAAAGTGTTCTCATATGAAAAAGGTGACTACCCATCACTGTCGCGTGAACTGGATGCATTTTTTC